GGGCCCAGCTATGCCATGGTTTAAGCTTCTGGCAATCCAACGCATAATCATCTGTAAAATTGGGAGTTAGCCTCAGAGATCTGTGAGTCCACTGTGTTTTCAGACCAACAAAAACGTTGACATCACTCCGTTCAATGGTTATGGTTCCCACACGGTACCGCTCATTCATGAGAGTGGAGTTTTGGAACTTACAGGGAAAGCCAACACATCGAGGATGGACGTCATGATAATGTGCGCCCTAGCAGCTTGCTTTTGTTTCTCAAAATGCGTTAGCCCCTTCCGAGCGGTTTGCTCCTCTTCTCCACTGCCGGGCTGCACCCCTCAATTACTTTTCGAGCGCTGGTTTTTGTGGAATTGCTCCAGTCCCTTTCGAAGCATTCCTTTTTTGTTGTCCAATTCCACAGTCCGCTGCGAGTGGTTTGCTGTTTTTCTCTCCCAAACTGCAACGACCGGTTTGCTCCTGCTTTCAACGCCCTGGCCCTTGTCGAGCCATTGCGGTCTGCTCATGGTTTTCACATGCTCCTGTTTGTCACACGCTGAAATCCTTTTCGAGCGGCTTGTTCCCTTTTTTGAGTCGCCCGGATCCCGATCGAGTGACTCGCTGCGTTGTCTCAAAATGCTCTCGTGCCTTTGGGGCGGTTTGCTCCTGTGATTGAAATGCTCTAGTCCCTCACGAGAGTTTTTGTCCAGTTTCTCAAATGCACGAGTCCCGTTCGAACGGTGTGCTGATCTTTTCTCAAGTGCACTGGTCCTTTTCGAGCCGTGCTCCGGTCCCCTGCGAGGTATTTGCTCCTTTCTCTCAAATGCTGTGCTCCCGTTCGAGTGGTTTGCTCCTGCTTTTTCAATGCTTCAGTGCGCTCCTTTTGTCGCATACTCCAGCTCCTTCGAGCGATTGCGATGTGATATTGGTTTCAATTGGCCAAGACCCTTTCGAAGGATTTGTTCCCTATTCTTGAAGGCTTTAGTCCCTTTCCGGTGGTTTGCGCGTTTTTTCTCAAGTACGTTATTCCCTTTTCGAACCGTTGGCTCTTGTTTCTCCACTTCTTCTCAAATACCTTATCTAATCCCTTTTCAGGCAATTTGTTGTTTTTCTTCCACACTTCCATCCGTCTTGAATGGTTTGCTCCGTTGCTCAATGCTCTCGAGCGGCTTGCTCCTTCCTCTCAAACACTTAGCCCATGCTCGAGCATTGTGTTCCCTGTCCTCAAATGCTCTCGCTCCTTTTCTCAAACGGTCTAGCTGCTATCGAACGGCCTGCTCCCTTTATTTCAGCCCTCCAGCCCCTTTCGAGCCGGGTGCACCTATCTCTCAAATGCCTTATTCCCTTGAAAGTGGTTTGCTCGTTCGGTTCAAACGCCCTGGCCTCTTCCTTTTCGAAGAGTTTGCTGCTGTTTCAATTGCGTCCCTTTGGGCGAACTCTAATCCCTTTCTATCATTTTGCTCCTTGCTCTCAAGTGCTCTAACGAACTTCCAATGCTCCAATCCCTTCCGAACGTTTGCCCAAAAGCTCATTTCTCTTTCGATTGGTTTGTTCCTTTCTGTCAATCCTTCTAGTCCGTTTAAAGTGGTTCCCTGTTTTGTCTCAACAGCCTTAATCCCGTTTGAGTGGTTCGGTTTCTCCTCAAACGCAGCAGTCAGTTTCTAGCGGCTTGCTCCCGTTGGGAATTCAGTCTCTTGCCCTGGGGTGGCCCTTTTTGTCTCAAACGCTCTAGTCCCTTTCGAGCGGCTTGCTGCGCCTATTCAGGCACTCTAGTGCTCTGCCTTGTCCTTTTCGAACGAGTTGCTCCCTGTTTCAACCGCTCCGTTTTGAAGCGGTTTGCTTCTTATTCTCCAATGCTCTAGTCCCCTTCCGGTGTGTTCCGTTCTCTCTCACATGCCTGCTGCCTTTCGGGCGGCTTGCCCCGGGTCTTCACATGCTCTGGTCCCGTTTGAACTGTTTGCTATTTTCCTCAAATGCTCTGGTCCGCTTGCTCCTTGCTTGTTCTCAAACTGTCTTGTCACTCTGGTCAAGTCCCTTTTGAACGGTTTGCTGTTTTCTTCAAAGGCTGCTCCTCCCAGTCAAGCTCTAACCCTTTTGGAACGATTACGGTGTGCTACAGTATTCCCTCAAATCATCTGATCCTTTTCGAACGGCTTGCCCCTTTTACTCAAATGCTCCAGTGTGCTTGGAACGGGCTCTTTTTGCCCGCAATGCTCTCATCCGTTTCCAACGACTGCGGCTTGCCTTCTTCGCAAATGGTGCAATCCGTTTCGAGCGATGTGCTCCATTTTCTTGCATCTTCCAGTCACGTTGCCCCTTTCCAGCGGCTTGCTCCTTTCTCTCAGGTGCTCTCATCCCTTTCCAAGGATTTGTTCCGTTTTCCCATATGATCTGGTCCCTTTTGGACGGCTTACTCCTGTTTTGATTCAAATGCCCTACTCCCTTTCAAAGGATTTCCTCGTTCTCTCAAATGCCCCTAGTCCCTTTCGAGCGGTTCGATCGTTTGTCTGAAATGCTCTAGTCACTTTCGAGCACTTTGGCTTCTCACATGCTCCAATCACTTCCGAGCGAATTGCTCCGTATCTAAAATGCGGCAACATATTTTCCGGCGGTCTGTTCCTTGTCTACTCCCTTTTGGAGAGCTTTGCTCTTTGCCTCAAGTGCTCTAGTCCCAATCGAGAGCACGTGGTTTTTGTTGAATGCTCTAGTCCCTTTCGAGCGAGTGTGCTTTGCTCTTGTTTTGTCACATGATTGAATGCATTTGGAGTGGCTTGCCTTCCGAGCGGTTTGCTCATTGTTCTCAAAAGTTCTAGCCCCTTTCGAGCGGATTGCTGCTTGTGTGTTAGACGCTCTGATGCCTTTCGAGCGGGCTGGTTCTTTTTCTCTAACACCCCAGACTCTAGTTTTGAGCGGCTTCTTAAACGTTCCCTTTCGAACGGCTTGCTCAATTTTCTCAAAAGCGTTGTACTGCTTTCCCTCGAATGCTGTATTCTGATTCACTTTAGGCCGAGGTCTTCAAGTCCATGCAGATTGCCACCAAGTTGCCAGCCATGGTCCTGCAGCCTGCAACGGCGATTACAGGGAATCTCGCATCACCGTCGTCACCACTCGGTTCCGATCAGTTCCCATGCTCTCCACGAAGCCTTCCGAAACACTCTCGGCGTTGAGTCTTAGAAATTCAAAATCGAGCCCCTGGCCCCAACGCAACAGCAGCACCTGCCTGGGCGGAGCGCCGCACGGCGCCCGAGATCACGTGCCGCCAGCGGGCTCCAGACGTGAGATAGAAACCGTTGATGTGGGGCTATCGTGCTGCTGCGTCTGCAGGATGCACGTCAGCTGTGGTATCTGGGTTTCTGGGAGCCTAAAGATGTAACCCCACAAGCAATGTCTTGCGAAAGCTAGGCATTCCCCAGAAGTCAATGTCCAGGCTACATGTGAATGCGGCTTAATCATTCGACCCTTCCTTCTGGAGAGGCTTACAGCGGCTTACGGCTGCCATCACACCATGAGACCTCACTTTGGAAGTCGGGGGATCGGGGACCCAGGACATGGTGCAAGACATGGTGCAACGCGACATTAACCGAGAGTAGAAGCTTGCCTATGCAAAAACTCCATGCCCGTTTGGAGTGCATCCTTTGATCGGCCCAATGTTCATTAGCATGGCCACAGCCACAGACTTCTTTGGCCTCCGGCATGTCGCTACGGGGACAGACTTCTTTGGCCCATTCCTGAGACAAAAGCTGAATACCTTGAGGGCTCTGGCAAACTCACTTCGTCGGCAGCGGCCTGATGCTCGTGGCATGTGCCGAACGATCTGATTTCTGACATCTGGGACAGCCCCACGAGATCGTCCCTGTGAAGAATCGACTCAACGCGCCTTCCCTTTCGCACCCGTCGCATGCCAGCCCCTCACGGCACAAGGGTTGGGGCTGTTTCTACCCCCCCTGATGTTGCCTGGGGCCGGCCATGTCTGACGAGAGTCTGCAAGATAAAACCGAAAATCTGCGTGAAAGACAGGATGGATATGCGAGGGGATAGCACTCAAGCTGCCTCCTTCGGCGGCAGCGGCGCTATCCCAACACCTCTATAGGTATGACAAGCTTGAGAACCACACCTGCATCCCGTAATGACCGGTAGTCCCATCGCTGCTGAACGGGCATATCCTTTGGGCTAGAAGCCCTGCGCTGTGGCAGCTGAAGGAGAACCAGACTGTAATAGGAGCCGCTCTCCGCGCCAAAGCCGGCGGCAAGAGAGGTCCCCGGACCCGTCACTGGTTGTTCGCCTGGTTGGTCTCCTGACGTTCAACAGCTTGCACTTTGCCCAAAGTCTGCAGTTGGCCGGGGGCCCCGCACGCAGAAGCAGCTTCCAGCTTGTCCTCGAAACAAACGTGCGAGACTACTTCACCTGCAAATCTTCCCAAGAAATGAAAACATGCATGTTCGAAGCTCCAGTTAGAGAGATCAGTGGAGGTGCGTGAGGCAAGCTCCGGGTGGGTTACGAATAGTTCAGTCTAGCAAGCCTCTTCAAGGTATGTAATTGTCGACAGGCAGCTGATAAAGGTTTGGTGCCCAGAAGTTATGGATGCGGTTTCGGGCTTGAGCGTGCATGAGCTTCATTTTACTCATGGGTGCTTGCTTTTCCGATGGCCAAGACTTACTTGCTCACAAGAGGCACAAGGTTGCAAATGGTAAGAGCAGGCAGTGGAGATGCCTGGGAGCTCTGTACGCAAGCCGAGACGGCAACATTCACATGGACGGGGGCTGTTCCTGCTCTGTGCAGCAACTTAGTGTCTAGTCGCCTAGTCATTGTGCCGGCGGGCGTCCGGGAGAATATCAAGAAGAGCCGCAACAACCAGCTGAGACGGACGAGGCTTTCAATCTGCGAAAGAACCATTATTCTCATGTCTGCCCGGGTCTTGAACCCCGCCATCCTGTGTCTTGGTCTCGAAGTCACTGCGCGCATGTCGCTCGTGCAGCTGCTCGGACTTTTCCTGAAGTTGGTGCTTTGGGAGGTTTGGCACATCGTCTGCCGCAGAACTGGTGAAGCTACTGTAGAACTTGTGAGCTGCTGGGGACTGTGGAAAGGCCGAGTAGAAGCTGCAACAAGCTTGACAAAACAAGACGTCCCCAAGGCTGTGCCGATCTCAAACTCGACTTTGCCGGCCATTTAAATAGTCGACTGTTACCGTTCGAGCTGGCGTGAACCTTGAGCTGGCAATGCTGGGCTTGATTTGCAACACCGCGTCCCGTTCAACCAGGCAGTCAAGTGGCACAATCTGACTCGGCCAGAAACATAACCCTAAACCCTAAGCCCTAAACCGAATCTACAACCGAAGGAGCTCCAGTTCCAAGTTCGGGTGCAAGTCGCTCCGAACGGGCGATTCACCATGTTCCCACGCTTCCTCGGCGAAGCGCTTTGTTTAAGCTCAGGCTAACCAAGGCTCGCCGACTCTGGCCGGCCTGGGGGGGTCATAAGAAGGCTTTTGCGGAGCAGATCCTACCGTGCCGGGGTTTTACGAACTTAAGCCTGTTTTGATTTCGAAGAATATTAATAAGAAGAATAATATTAAGAAAAATAATACTAAAAATAATAACAATAAGAATAATAATAATAATAGCTTACTTCGTGCCGGGTACCAGCCTTCTCCGTCTCGTATGTTGTTGTGTCCAACTCGAAGCCGAGGCAGGGGATTCAAACTTGTAAACAGTTGCTTTTAAGGTTGCCTGTCGCGTGATCCCAGTCTGCAGTGCTACAAAGTAGAGGTCCCGAGCTGCCATGTTCCAAAGAGGGTTTTCTTGCAATTCGGCAGCTAGGCCCAATCTCATGCTGTCTGGACCTTCCAAACGAACTGCTTTTGCACCCTGCTGTGCATCGCAAGCCCTTTGTTCAGCTCAGTCACACTGCGGGTCGCTCTGCAACGCGCTTGGCCCACTCCATGAGGTTCTTGTACTCCTCGAGGAGATTCTTGTAACGAAACAGTTCAATCCGCCCCTGTGGGTTCTGCAAGCTGGCTTGGATGTGTTCTGTGGCATGTGCAGGGCATGTATAGCGTACAGCTCTGACAGCGGGATTCAGCAGTCAAGGTACGTATCACAACATAAGGGTTTCCTGCACTTGCAAGAAGTCTGCAGCTGCACCGTAGATCTTTCCGAGCATCAACCAGCCCACCCTTGGTCGAGCTGTTAGCTGCTTGAGGATGTCGGGTCGACACAGCACTCCCCAAACCTTGAACCCAGAACCGAGTGTTGGCGGGTGGCGAGGAAGGTAGCAGCCATCCCAAGTACTCGTGATGTCAAGAGGTGCGAAGCCACGAAAGTTCAGCTGTCATCTCTCTCACGCAGCGGCAGCCGGGCATCCGCCGTCTATGCATTAAAGACCGAATCGACTACATGTCAGCATCTAAGTTCCTCAACTCTTCGACGGTCTCAAAAAGGAGTCGTTCTAGCTGTGTAGCTTGCACAATGCACTGATCACTCCCTGTAGCCACCTACACAGTCTGCCGGGTTCAGCCGAAGAGCCACGGCCAAACTGCCATGTCAGCAATGGTGTACCTGGCCATGATAAGCTTTCAGTGGTTCGGACAGCTGTGGAAGACTTGAAGAGTCTTAACTCAGGCTTTCATGTTCGATGTTGTTCTGTTCTGTTCCAGATCAAAAACACACGACACGACACAACTTATCGAAACATGGGTGCTGGGCTAGATTAGTAGAACTTGGGGCTTTACCCCGTCCGGGAAACACAACATCTGCCCCTTCACTTCCTTTGCAATGCAGTCTCGTGCCGGCATAGATTGTCATGAACCCCACCGTGCAGTTTCGCAGTGGCATCTTTGACCGTGACCCCGTTCACGATGATATGAGTGCGTCGTGTGTCAACGAAGCGATAATTTCATTGGAGTTGTCGAAAACAGCCTAAGTGACTCGAAAACTGGCTATCCTTGCTGGTCCGCGAAACCAGGACCACTGAGGCCTCTAGGAAGCCAGACTATTCGGTTCTAACCGCTCCTGCTCCCCGACTAGACCGGTTCTCCAAACAAGCCAACGCTGGAGATTCCTCGCTCGGGGCGGCTTCCAAAGTATGCATCAGCCCCAAGTTTGCGGACGAGGCGCTGGTCTCCGCAAATGAACCTTAAAGGACACGTGAGAGTGTTAAGCTAACGGCGAAGGGTCCCCTTCACCCGACGGCATGGCCGGCATAGGGTCCATCCCTCTGGGATCTCCCTCCCAAGCCTGCTTACGGCTCTAAGAGGATCGGAAGCTGCTCGCCCCACAGCTCCGAAGCATAAGAAGCCTTCCAACACAAGCCAAAGCAATGACACCTGAAGATGGTCTAAAGAAGGCATTCCGGAACCGAAAAGCTACAGAAAAGATTCTGACGAACTAGTGAAAGTCTTGGTCCTTCAAGGAAAGCGTCAGCGCCGGGTTTCGGGGGCCGCAACGTGTTGCTTCGATGGCTTGCCACGAGAGGGCGAGGAAGATGGAGAAGACGCTTCCCCAGAACGCTCTGCTGAACAGTACGACAAGTTGCCTTGTTGGATTTATCCACCTTCAACGTCCGCCATGCTTACGAGTTCCCACAAGGGAGTTCACTAGAGTCACTAGAGTCTGCAAGTGCTGCAAAGCCGTCATAAGTCACAAAGCGTCATGAGGGCATCTACAACCCTGTGCATCCGCAGTGATCTCTTCCACGAGTTTAGAGGCCCAAAGCACGCCAAACCCTGGAGCTTTTTGGTCCTCTTTCGAGGCCCAGGGCCTTATGCCGTCTGAGCCGCTTCTTGTTGCCATCCCCCAGGTGCTTGTCGAGGACATCAAGAAGCCTCTTGGTCTCCATGCTGTAGCGGTCGATGGCGTACTGAATCCTCAAATTCGCTTGCCTAGTTGGTGTTCATGAGCGCTTAGGGCGGGGTGGAAGCTTTGTACAGCAAGACGAGACCCTGCTGAGGACTGCAAAACTGAGATTGACAGCCAATCATCCGAGCCCTCGTGATTCGACTTGCGACTTGTAGCTAGCACGTGTCGTCTCAGTGAAGCAGATTTCCGCCATCCATGCTTGCAAGAACGGCGCCACAGCATCGGAACCTCCCTCCGAATCGTGTGCAGATGCTCCGGATGACCGATAAGGGCCACACAGAAACTCTGCAAGAGAGCGCAACACCTGGGATTCTGTGCCCTTGGGTCCTTTTCCCAAACAGAGCCGAGGAGCTTCACAGGAGCGTAGTTGTAGAAGTGCCCAAAACCTTCGGGCGTATAGCTCGACATGGTCAGAACGTATACATGCGGAAAATGCGCGGCAAGAACGGCAACAGTCTCCTGCATGTTTGCTGAGGTGCTTCTACACATCAGCAACACCACCATCACCACCACCACCACCACCACCACCACCATCCACCACCATCCACCACCATCCACCACCAGCGGCACGAAGGGACGAAGGCCGTTTACAAGAAGGCCGAGCTAGGGATGCCCCGGGTTTCCAGGCCTCCTCCGATGAACGGTGCGGAGCCCATCTGCCTGAGCTCAGGCCCTTGCCCTTGGCCAAGGACTGGGACACCAGGCTAGCAGCTAGCAGCATGCAGCTAAGCGTGTAGACAGGCGGCCACATAAGCCAGTTCTGCACCTCGGCCCTGGCGGGATACTCCTCGCAAACGCGCGTCTCGGCAGTTCGGAGGGGCTCAAAACAGTCAAACGAAACGGATTGGAGAATCCTTGCTGCCATCAATCATCAAGCGCTTTACCCGACATTCGGCTTTCGAGCCCAAAAGATAACACTAAAAACAAAACTCAGGAAAGGCGATCGCTCCTTCGGCAAGAAGACGCCATCCTTGTCAAACTTGTCGCAAAGATACCTTGGCTGACAGAGGCATCGTGAGGCTGCGTCAACGCATTACACGCCCAGCTTCCAACGCTCATGTTGCAGGACCCAGCTACGCTGCACCCCCGCCTGCGCCTCAAGCACTCAAGCAGGAAAACAGGCCCGCATCATTATCCTTTGTGCGAGTCTACACCTCAATGCACCTGCAATCCCCTGAAGCTACGTGAAACCGAACTCCGACCGGCTGCATGAGGATGGAGCCAGACTCAAACACCCGGACCGGCTTGTCCGTTGAGTGGTCCACCATCGCGGGGATCCTGCAGCAGCGAATCCATTGTCGCTGGTTCGGGGTCGGAATTGTGGTGTAGAGACCGCCAGGGGCTTTGAGAGCAACACGAATGCCACCATTCGCTCTGACCTCTGCCTGCTGCCTTGATAATGCGAGTAGTCATGGTAAGCGGGCGAACTCCACTTGCCAAGTGGCTTGGAGTTTGGGTTGATTGCATGGAAGCCAGAGGTGAACTGCACGCCGTTGATGGGAATCAGCCATGCCTCCGAGGAGACGGCCCACTATGCTCCGGCTGCTGGGTTTAGGATTTCGGGCTCAGGGCTTGGGGTTTAGGGCTTAGGGCTTAGGGTTTAGGGCTTGGGGCTTAGGGCTTGCGGTTTCTGTTCTGGGTTTTTGTCAAGGCCGTGGTGCATCGTACTCGAAATCCGGGAAGAGTTCAACCAACTCCTCCAGCAGGATGGTGACTTTCACCCCATTCCTGGGCTCTGGGGTTCTTGTCTGCCTTCCGGGTTCAAGATCGACCTCGTCCGACAGTCCTGAGTTTCACCACCCCCACCTCCCAAAACCCGAAAAGCCAGAACCCCAACCGAACACCAAAACGGCGTCCAGGCTCGGCGTTCCCATGGAGTAGAGCTGGATCTTGTGCTCCCCCTTGGGGAGAGGCTTGTCCTGGCATTTACCCGGAAAAGCTCAGAACATCCGTCAGAATCGGAGCTCACCCAGGGGAACAGCAAGTCTCAAAAACCGAAGAGAAGCCCAGCAGAGCGCCTCGCCCCAAGCGCCCGCATAGGGCCGATTCGTGCCACCGAATTGCCCGCCCTGCTCCTTGTACTCCCACACCTGAAAGCAGAGCCGCTACAAGCCTGGGCCCTGCGATGCCTGAAGCTTTCCGAGAATGCCAATACCGATCTTGTTCCAAAAGACCCCTCTTTGCCTAGCACTTTCGGCTTCTCCGAAGCAAAAGCCTTGGGCACCACGTAGTCAGCTGGGAGCGAAGGCTTCTCCTGGCGGCTGGAGGCAGGGGGTTGGGATGTCGGAAGGCTTTGGATCCCTGCCTCTGCCATGTCGAGGGAAGGGCTCGTGGATGGCGCGAGGCACCTAATGGGCACCGGGCTTCGGGCGGGTGAGGACTTGCCTTCGTGGCCGCGAGCATCGGGCGTTTGAAGTGCATCTCTTACGACTCTTTGCAAGTCGAGGCTACGCCCTCCGAACCCGTGTCAGTATCATTGCCATCTCCGCGGCAATGCCGCCAAGTTGCAGCTTCCTGTTCTTCGATGTTCCGATGTTGCTACTTCTGCTGACTGCGTCGCCCTGCAGCTCTGAATCGCCCCAGTATGCCGAATCGGGTCTGATTCGCGCGCTGACCATTATGCACCCACAAAAGCCACTAGCAATCAACCACTGCCGTCATTAGATATCCGCATGTGCAGGGAACAAGAAACAGGAGAGAAATCCAATGAAAGAGAGCATTCGAGCGAGCCACTGACCCATGCAAACTGCCTTCTCGGAGACGCAGATGCTCACCCTTGAGCCAAAAGCCAGGCGGCACGTGGCTGGTCTCACATGTCACAGTCTTACCCAAAGATGACCCTGTGGGATCTGCATCATGCGCCATGATGAGCCGTGTCGCGAGAATGGCATCTGCTCAGGCGTGGCACACGACTACTTGTAAAGCTTGTCTCGATCTACGTAGATGTCCGAGAACATACCCTGATAGCTTGAAATCACAAAGCTCGAAACTTTCAGCTTGGCCCGCAAACTGAGCCATGAGATTTAGGGCGAGATTTAACGTCCAATGCTTCTCCGTGATTGTTGCTCGGTCAAGAAAGAGAAGTCCAAAGATCCTATAGCCTCCCAAGACTAAGACTCCACAGCTCCTCACAATCACGGGCTTGGGCTGAGGCAAGCTCAGCTGCACCTGCACTAGCTTGCAAGTGCCATGATTTGGTGGAGGGACTTTCGTCTGTATGCAAGATGAAATACAGCTTCCTGAAAGGGATCAGGCTTCGATCTGCAATACTCGCTCCTGCAAGGACAGGGTCAATAGTGATTGCAAAGCTCCGGAGTATGATATACCATATATCGATGTTGATTCGGAGGCATCAGGGCATACAACTGGTCTGCATCCCACGAACTCGGAACCCCAGCACACTAACGCTGCAGAGTCTGCTAGGCCCGCGTGTTGCGCGATGCCTGCTTCAGGGCTCTGGCAGGCACTGGCACTGCGGGCTGGCCAGGGTATGAACTTGCACCTGAGCTGAGCGCTCAGGGAAGTTTTGGTGCTCAGCTCAGTCGGTGGGGTTCCGAGTGATCGCGGTAGAACTGGGCTGAGGCCTCCCTCCTTCATGGCGGCTGGGGTTTGATATCTTGGCTGCATTGATCCCTCGTCTCTCAATGCCTCTTATGATTGAACACGTGGACCCCGCAAGCCGTGAAGTGAGGCTCGGGCGCTCGAGAGCAGTCGGTGCTCGGGTTGGAGTGGATCCGGGCTGGCGAGGGGAGATCTGCGGCTCTGGGCTTCCATCGTGGCTTCTACGCCCTGTTCGGTATGCATGCCCTACAGTCTACAGTGGTAGCCACAACCAGACTTTTCACAGGATCCGGAATCCGATGCATGGAAAGACCTCCTGAAGCCCCCGAAACTCGGCTGGCCGCACCACCAGGAGATGACCAGGGTAGGGCCTCAGCATCCACACGGTTACGTTCTCCTGCAGAAGCAGGGAGAAAGCTAGGCGCCCCACGAGCCCACACCGCTGAGAGCCGGTGTTCCCTGGTCAAAAGCGGACCCTCCAAGCAGTCAACCTATCATCCTCTCTTCCTACCAGAAGCAGTCACGGGCTGTTTTCTTCCAGGAAGAGGCCTGGCCCTCTGGATGCGAATTCGCACGCCCCAGCCGTAGCAGGAGATTGGTTCTCCGAATGACCTCGCCAGGCTGCGGCAGGCTGCGGCTTTTCGGCTTCGACTTCGTCGAAAGATTTCTGGAGCTTTGGGGTTCGCTTGTTCCTCTCCACAGAGCCGAATTGGGGGAGTCGGAGCTCTGGCCCCTCCTCAAAATCCCTCAGCAGCGGAAGCCCCAAGATCCTCAGCTCAGACTCAAGCGTCTTCGCTGGGGATCTGATTCCGCTTCTCTTCCAGCCTGGCACGGAGGCGGTGCATCTTTGCTTCCACCGAAGCTCGCGCCTGCAGCCTTGCTCCCCTCGCCGCGAAACCCCCATACGTTTGAAGAATCCAGATGCCCGGCTTCACGCCTGCGCCATTCTTTCTGGATCTCAATGAGCTGTCGCCCCAGGGCCTGGCAGAAGCAGGTGTTCCGATGCCAAGGTCCTCAACCCTTGATTCCTCAAAACCGCAACCCTGCACTGAGGCTTTTTTGATGCAGCGCCGTGGCGCCGCCAGAGCAGACCTTCCAGAAGAATCCTCGGTCTGCGTCTTGCTGGACGTGTGAAAGCGATGGCCACGAGCACAACTTGCAAGGACGCCGAAACCATGGACTCGGCTGAACCACAACATGGTGCAGAACAGTTGTCATAGGCTTCGATCTTTCTTCTCGGCACTGCGTTTGGGGCGCGAGGGCCTTGTGCCGGAAGGGACCCCTGAGCCCAGCAAGGCTTCGATGACGGCGACGGCGTTCCCTTCTCCACCAGGCCGGTTCGAGTTTGTGCGGCGAGTCCCCAGGCTGGAGTGTCTAAACAAAGCCAGGGTGGAAGAGCAGGGAAGGAGAAAGCGTTAGCGCAAACCCGAAATCAGACAAGCCTGTGGCAAAAGAGGTCATGCTGCATGCTGTTGCTTTGCAACCCTGTTGGTGGGGTCTGAGCTGTGGAGGCTGAAGCACAGAATCGCAGGCCCAGCGTCCAGGTCTCGCTCGTCCTCGCCTCCTGCCGGCATCTGCCGGCAGCAGTGAGTCTTCAGGCTAGCAGCGGAGTTCGATCAGTGCGGTACTGTTCTGTCTTAGCTTGGGCTTCGGGGGTTCTGGAGTCGAGGGTCTTGACCGCCAGACTACCATTCGAGACAGGCACCTTGGACCTTTCAGAATGGACTTGAGCACAATAAGCTCGCTCCTCCCATGTAGACTCGAGCTCCACCACGCTGGCATTCCTTGGCCCACTGCTGCGATGCTTGAAAGCTTGACTGTGTCATTTGACTTAGGGGTGGTCAGTTGGAGCGCAATGTGGCCCGGAGTTAGCTGAGCCCCTACGTCTTACCCTAAGGCATGCTCTCCACTTTGGCATTGCGGTTTCAAGCTGCTGTCGACGAAGACGGGGGCCTCGAGCAAATTCTACACGAGTAGTAGGAAATCCATCAAGGAGAGCCGCACGGCACAAGTGCTGGCAGCGCGAGCGCTCTCGCAGTTCATGATCGATGCCTGTCCAGGTGCTCGGGTCGCAGCTCGCACTTGGGCTACACGCTTCGAAGGATGGCTCTGGGGGTGCTACAGCTGAAGATATACCAGGAATGTGAGAAGCTCGTGCTTCGCTGAAGAAAGATTCGACCCACGGATGGTCGTGGAATTTCCTGGAGTTGGAGATATGTGCACACATAGGGTAGCATCTGTTTCCAAACCGTATTTATACGTCTGAACCACCACTTCAACTGTGCAATTAGCTACGACAATCCAAATGTGGTGCTTTGAGTGAATGATCTTGCTTCTGGATTCTGCCTCGAAGGTGCGAGGATCCGTACACGCCTTGACGTTGCCGGCGTTCCGTGAGCAGGATTTTAAGCTGCCCTAGCAGCCCTAAGATACTAAGGCGACACGGAGGCCGTTCCCTGTACCATTTGCCTTACCTGGTGTCTTCAAGAAAATGTAGGGCAGCAATAGCTCTCTTTTTGAAAAGCTCGATGCGGAAGTGCAGCGGCAGCAGCATGGCTGCAGCAGTGCAGCAGCAGAAAGGTGAGGAGGGTCGGACCAAAAGGAAACCGATGCGGGAATACAATTGATTGAGAATACGCCTGGAAGTCACGTGACGGATCTATGTATGCCAATCTTGAACCGTTGCTGTCACATACCAATCCAAACCAATTACCGTAATGGACCTTGCTGCTTCCAGTGCTTCGGCCAAGCTGGTTGAAGTCAAGAGAGCGCCGCATTTGAGGCCACTCTCGGAGACTTGCCAGGCCCAATTTTAGGGTTTAGGGTTTAGTACGTACATGTCGTGGCACTATACGGACACATTCAGATTGTGGAGGGCGACCTCCGAACACTCCAGCTGCCTCTCATCTCTGTCTCAAAGCTTCAGGCTGTCAGGCACCAATTGCACTCGAGATTACCACTTATTCGGCGGAGGCAGACCACCACGGCCTTAAGGATTAACCCTAGAACCTAGACCCCTAAACCCATAAACCCCTAAACCCTAAAACCTAAACCCTAAACCCTAAACCCCTTAACCCTAAACCCTAAACCCTCAACCCCTAAACCCCTAAACCCCTAAACCCAAGAAATCAAAGTAGCTTTGGATTTTCGCAGGGCCGAGGCAAGGCTCCGAGCAGAGCAGCGCATCAAATTCTCCCGCCTCAACATCCTTGGGTGGATCTGAGAAACGGGTTTTCGGGGTTCAGGGCTTTAGGGGTTTTTGGGGTTTAGGG